AGCGGCCAGAAGACGGACATCCCCGACCGTCGTCGTCGAAAACCTCCAGCAACGGCCTCCTCGTTTTACCGTTGGCGCTGAATCACGGGACGGCCCTGTAGGTCCTTCGGGCGGCCCAACGGAGGGGCCATGGCGATCATCAGACGTCTTCGGCCGGCGCCCGGAGGCTTCGTGGTGTTCCCGCGGGCTTCCCAACGGTCGGAATTACGGATTTTGTAAGCGTCCTCCCTCGTGCGCTTCTTGCATGAATTTGGTTCGTTGGCGTCTTCCCTCTCGCAGAGTGTGTCTCTGCTCGCCTCGAATGCGATAACGCTTCTGTCTGCTGACCTATCGTTGATGGCAGACCTGCACTGCAGGCTACCTTTGTTGTTGCTCGTCACTCTGTTGATGCTCATCGTTGTCGTCTTCCACATTTGTTTCCTCGGTCGCGTTCCTGGAAGGAAACAGACGCGTCGAACGCCGAAGAAGTCGAGGAAGATGGATAAGCTTCAGACGAAGACGACGATGTCGGTGGAAGGTGGGGGGTCCTCGCGTCAGCGTTGCAACAGTGCGGAAGGCGGTAGGCGGCCGTACGACCCGACGCTGTACAGCCACCTGCCGTCCCATAAGATTCCATTGCCTCCGAGTGACGACGACGTCGACGACCCCAGATCCTCAACGATTCCTCTGGGCAGCGATTCAACGCAGGATTGGATGGGGAGCTAGTTGCACAGACACGCATCGACGTCGACGTACACTGATTTGCTGGAGGGCCGGAACCCCGCTGGTTACAACGCTGGACTCGTCGATCAGAGCTTCGGTCTGAGGTCTGGGAGTGGCGAGGACCTGACGCACACCGTTGTCGTGAACCCGGCTTCTGCCACCAAACACACATCTCCTTCCGTGAGGGCGGCTGGCCCTGCGGATAGCCGTGGATTCGTTTCGCTGAGGCGGGTGGCTTTGAGTACAGCAAGTGTGGCCGCGTCGAGGACGAAGACAGCTGGATTGGCAAGTTGCCTAACGACGACGCCAGGCGGTACAATCGACGGAGAAGGGGACGACGACGAGCGCGCCACTACAGAGGTCGTCGGTCGTCAGTTTTGGGATGATGAACGACAACGATTGCGTTCCGCGAACACGTCCAGCATAACGAGAGGGGTGGCGAGAATCAGTGTGGGGGCCGAAGACGTATTTGTGGACTGCGATGGTGGAGGTGGCGAGGAGATCGCTGCAGACGACGACGGTGATGACAACGACGAAGACGACGACGGCGAGATGGAGATTCGTCCAGTAGGGAGGAAGGGCGGAGGGTCGAGGGCGACAACCAAGGTTAGAGAATCGCGCACAGGACGGAAAGGCAAGAAGTGCGTCGAAGAATCGTCGACAGGCGACGTAACAAAAAGCAGGGATTTTTGGACAGTGGAGCATATGATCGCTCTTATCAAAGCCAAAAAAGACCAGGATTTGCATCTGGCCGGCATGGGGCACAACTACGGACGGATGAAGACGAAGACATGGAAGTGGGACGACGTGGAAAAGAGGCTCGTGCAGATGGAGGTGACGAGTAGGAAGGCCGTCGACTGCGGAAAGAAATGGGACAACCTGTACCAGCAGTTCAAATCCGTGCACAAGTTCATGGGAGAATCCGGGAAGCCTAACTTCTTCACACTGACGTCGGGGGAGAGGAGGGAGCGGGGTTCGACTTTAGGATGGATGAGCACGTGCATTCGAAGATGAAGGCGATGTCCAGGGCCGATCACACTATACACCCCATGAATCTCGGGGGCACGGGTGCACCGGGAGGTGTTCAAATGCCTGGCCCGCTTGGCGGGCGAAACGAATCCGACAGTAGTGACGGAGGGGGGAATGGTCACGACGACGATCACGGATCGACGAGGGATTCGTCATTGTCCGACGCTGGTGGTGGCGGGGCCAGCAAACGAAAGAATGTCAGACAACAGATCTTCGAGGTGATGGTGGACGTCATGAAGGAGCACGGGGCGCTCATGTCGACGATGGTGGACACCACGGGCAAGAGGCAGTGCTCAATTCTGACGAGGCAATGCGACATTTTGGAGAGAGATACAAGTGGAGAAGGACCACTACGAGAAGGCTGACCAGGCTAACTTCATGATGTGCAACGCCCTCATGGAGATTGCTAAAGCGATCCGCAAATGAGCCTGACGTGGGCCGACCAGGCATGTCGAACGTCCGAACGCATGACTCAGAACTGGTAACGGCACGTCGCCGTTTCCGTCGTCCTCCGTGCTACAGTACGTCGATGTGTAGGTTGTGTAAAGTCGGCGAGTCGTCGTTGCTCGCGCATACTATTAACCGCGGGTTTTATTAATGACTGTGAAGGGTGTTGTTTGCTTTCATGCCCCACGGCGCGTCCTGAGGTTGTACAGCAGGTCCTCCGTTTTTAGATAATGTTTACAGACTGCTGTTGTGAGTTGTTGTCTCCACGCTTGGATGGCGATCTTGCAGGGTCTTCTTTGGGGGTGTCCGCGAATGTGTACGCAGCAGGGTGTGTTTTTTCGGGCGCGAGGGGGAAATGGCGGATTGGAGTGCCTGGTCTTTTTGGGGGTGGGAGTGGACGGATGGGGGGCGGGGTCTTTGTACCTCCTGCGGGGAGCTCCTGCGCGCCCTCGTGCCTTGTTCGTCATGTGGAGGATGACCTCCACGCCGCGAGAAAATTCGTCTGTTGTGAATCGACGAAGGGGCGGGCTGTAGTGGACGGCCAGGCCTGTCCATGGTGTGCTGCGAGACCGCGCAGCATACAAAAGGGGATTCCGGGAAGCATTCCGTACCGCTGCCATTCTATCGCGAAGGCTCCAAAGGCACCGTCTGTGCATGGTCTCGTCGTCGCACGCCTAGTCATCTGCTTCAACCCTACGATCGGCGGGTTTGGGCTCCGCGGGCATCCACGTCCTCCTGCATCCACGTCAGCCAAGCGCCGCGTCATTGGAGTGCTCCTTCGTCCACAGCAGCGAAGCGCCGCATCATCAACGTCGTCCGTCGGCAAGGTGCCCGTCATCGAGCTCCCACCGCTCCTTCATTCGCGTTATCCACGTGGTCCTTCGTCCACGTCAGCCAAGCGCCGCAGCTGTTTGCAATCGGCACGCACTTCTTATTTCTTGTGTTGTGGACGACATGGCACCGTGTGGCGCTTCAGGGAAGTTGAAGAGAAACAGCGGATCAGGCGACAGCGGGGAAAGCCAAAAAGGCAGAGGGCACGTGCCGAAGTCGAAAAGGCAGCGCTTCGATGACGAGAGCTCCGAACATACTGCCGACTTTCAGGCCGAGGAAGTGTCGATGGTGGATGCACAAGGGGCAGACGTCGTGAGGCGATTGGGGTTTGGGCAGGACGGGGTGCCGAGGGAGCAGCTGCCCGCTCTGAAGCAAGGCTTGGTTGGTGGTGTCGCCGTCACGTTGGCACGAACCCCAAAGGCAGCAGGGATTGTCATGATGGACGCGCGCGTGGTGAGACAAGTTCCGCCAATGGTCGGGCACGGGCAGCCACGTCAGCCACTCCCCGCGCAACAGGCGGGGGCTTCAGGGGTGGAAAAAACACCGTCCGCGCAAAAGGTTGACACGACGGCGGGCGGTAGTCAGATGGTGGCGGGGGATAACACCACCCGGAGCGGAGTCGCGAAAACTGCGAAAGAGGGGAGGGTTGATGACGTCCGCCGCGATGATGGGAGGAAGGATGCCAGGGGGGGGGCCGATGATGACGACGACCGTCCGGTTTCAGCGATGGTGAAGAGAGGGGTTAAAGAGGATGATCTCGAAGAGAGGTCGAAGTTGTGGATCGACTGCGACACATTCTAGGGTCAGGGACCGGGGAAGCCATTGAGGGAGGCGGTAGGCAATTGCACGGACTACTTCGTCGCCATCGCTAACGGAGATGTAGGAGCGGAACTGCCTTCGATGCTGCTAATGCCGCCGAATGATGTGTCGCGCTTTAAGATCGACGCCCCTGCGCAGCATGAAGTGGCTCTGCGCAGAGCGCGCAACGTGGAGAAAGTGGTGCTGCGCACCATCCACGGCCGGATCTTCAAATCGTCGTCGAGGTCGTCTGGCTTCGCTCGTGCTCAATCGTACGTGATAGTGGACTTCACAACAGATGTCGCGCGAGCAGTCTGGCAGGCTTTAGAATGGTCGAAAGTTGTTTCACCTGCCCTCGCCTACCACACGCTGGCGATGAAGATGAACGTGCCTATGTGGTTTGCTGGATTGAAGATTGCGGATAGGCCCGAAGACGACGACAAGGCGGCGCGGCAGGAGGCAACAGTTCTTCGTCTGGCGGACTGCTGGACAGATGCAGTTTGGTGCGGGCAATGGGCAGATGGTGGCCGCGTGAAACAGGATAGGTTGACGCACCTTGCGGATTGTCTTCGAGTTTTGTTGAGCGCGTGCATGTGGATCATGGGGATGGGCGGTGACAACGACCGTTCGCACTACGAGGCATCATTCTACACGTCCATGGTCGCGAAACCAACACTCATAGCGGCGGGCTCCTACATCTTCAACTGGCGGCGGGAAATCGTTGACACCGCCAACCACGATTCTGGATCGTCTGGGGAAGGCCCACCTCACGCTGGGAAATTACCCTTGAGGGTTGGTTTTCGGTCACAACGCGGCCCTCAAGAATGCATCGGAATCAGCAAAACACGGGTGGATCGGCAGCGGGCCACCGGCGGATGACGATGGCGGTGACGAGAAGTGACACGTGGTTCATCCGCAAGGCCGCGGCGGG